CATGTTCAACCCCAAGAAATTTCAGTTATTATTGGAAAAGATAAAACTATTCAATTTTATACTACGTAAGTCTATTAATTACATTTATCACTTTTACAGTATTTTACGTTAAATGGAATAGATTGAATTCGACTAGGTTAGGTAAATTTGTTAAATGATAGCATAATGATAAAGATCAAATGAAAAAGTTAGTAAAGGTTAAAAGATGTAATATTTTGACATATATGATATATCATAGTAGAAATTTAATCTGATAAGATTGGATTGTTTAAATACAATTCATATATTCTAAATGATTATTTAATTTAAAATTCATTTCTAATTTAACATTATTGTTAGTTCTTAAATGTGTAATATTTTTGTTTTTAATTTTTTTACTTGTTATTATGTATTTTATTTCCATATCTTTTAGTGATAATTTACCAACAGCTGTTGATATTACATTGATGCGATCAGATTTATTCGATGCTACTCCGCACATTTTTCAACTTGATAATCAAACACGATCAGTAGATATTGTAATAACAGGTTTACAAATTACAAGTCATTCCATATTGGAAATCGAAGAATGTAATTCTACAAATCCAATTGGGCAATGTCCCTTTAAGTAAGCATTTTTAATTTTCTTCCTGAAAATTTGAAATTTGAAATTTTACATCTTATTAGAAAAATGTATATGCAAGGAAGACTAGTTTTCGATTAATAAGATTGGGTATTTGTTGATATCATGAGGAAATGCATCTTTTAATTGATAAACATCAGAAGAATAATTGATAAACATCATTTTGAATGCCTAAAATAGTTTAGATAGGAGAATTGATCAAATGCTAATTATGATTGATTAAAATTATATCGAACAAAATTTAATTCGAAAAGATAAAAGACAAGAAAAAGCCTATTTAAGTAAGAAAGTATTAATGTATTAGTAATAGGTATAAATAAGTAAATAAAAGAAGATGATAAATAAATAAATAAATAAACAAGTAAATAAATAAATAAATGGATTAGTTAATTTTACGATTTTTAAATTAAAATATTTCAATTTCTTATTTGTATGGCAAATTTTCATGCAGGAAAGATTCAAACAAATGTTTGATTTGCATGAAATGTGACAAAGTATGCTTATCGATTTTGATGCATAAATTTTTTTTTTTTTTTTGACAAATAATTTGAGCCAATAAAAATGTAAAATTTTTATGCAGCATATATTAGTGAAGTATGGGAATGCTTTCTCGCTTCATATTGCAAATTTATTTCGATAAACAAAAAGCTAACAAATAGCTTATATAAAATATAATTAAAATCATTTCGTAAAAAAAAAAAATTAATTTGCAATATTTTAAAAATTGATTTCTAAACTTTCAGTAATTTGGTGTCAACTTTTGTGAAAGTAAAAGTAGTACATAGTAAGTTCCTGTCAATTGGTATTATTATTACTGGTTGGATATATTTTGTTGCTTGGAGTATATCATTTTATCCACAAATAATTCTTAATTTTACTAGAAAAAGGTGAGTGACAAATCAAAAAAAAAAAATTGTCGCAATAGAATTTTATTAATCATTTTTAATCAAAAATTTATGATAAAACTGCTAATTTTTTATGTTTGATTTTGAATTTTATCAAAATTGTGATGTTCAATATCGTTTTCCAAGCAAATTTTATAATAAAAGATTTAATTTGGATTTAATTTAAATTGAAGTTTAATTTAAATTTTATCAAAATTATAGTATTTAGTATCATTTTTTTCATGCATATAGCATATTACTTTTAGTGTTGTTGGATTGAATTTTGATTTTTTATTACTAAATATTATTGGTTTCATGTGTTATGCAACATATAATATATTGATGTATTTTAATCCATATATTCAGGTTTGAAAAATTTTTTTCATTAAATTATAATTTTGCCAAAATTTCATCCATTCATTTAATTCCATAATTTGAAATAATAATACTTTTTATTGTTTACAATTTTTTTTTCTTTTTTTTTTTGAACTTTAAGAAAGTACATTAAACAGTGAGAAATTTTAATGTATGATTCATATCAAAAA